GATCTTTGAAAGATCTGTCATATTTTAGAAGCGTTAAAGTTTTTTTTTTTATTGCCAGAAAATCAGAAATAAAGGTATACGTTATTTTTATTATAAAAGTTTAAAGGTTCATATTTCAAATAAACTAATCAAATAAATGCTTCACTTTAATAATCTATATAAAATATTTTATATTTTTAGCACAAAAAAAAAGTATCAGAAGTTTCTTTTATGATCTATTTGGTCTACCTGAGAAAGTTTAAAAAAATATTCTAAAAAAAAAAACTCTAGCACTTTATATGATGCTCTATACATTTACCAAGTTTATCGTTCTTATTTAAACTATCTAAAATTCAAATTTTTTTTTTTTATTAATAGAAATACAAAGCCATTTTCCTTGTGATTGTTTGTAAAGTATGTGCGAATTCTAAATTTAAGCCAAACTCGGGTATACACTACAAATTTTGGAGTTTTTCTTAAGAAATAATATATCATGAACTGTGTCGGGGTCTAATTGATTTCTCTTATCGGTAATTGTATTGCCTGCATTTGAAAAGATTCTTTCTGAAGGAACTGATGTGGCTAGAAAAGCCAAATATTTTCTTGCCAGTTGAGAAAGAAAAGGAAATAGTGATTTGTGTTCATTCCACCAGGTTAATGGATTAATCTTACTATATTCTTCGTCTTTAATATGATATTTAGGAATTTGAGATAGATTATCGTAAAGAGCCACTTCTTCTTCAACCGAGGATGAATTTTCATTTGCAATTAAAATATCATTATCATCATCATAAAATGAAGCGAAAAAAGAAGAATTAGTGCTTAATGGTTCTGTTTCTTGAATAGAAGTTGATCGTTCCTGGTTATTATATAAAGTATAAAGATAAGTAAGAGTTTTATTTTTTTTAGCAGATGTTATATAACTCATTTTTTTGAATCTCAGATCTTAAAAAGAAGCTATAAGACTATTAAGTGACGGTTCAAACCATCTTGATAGCATTGATTCATTAATTTTACGGCAACAAGCTTTTACTATTATCGATGTTATTGTTGGATAAAAATCTCGTAAATGGCGTGAAAGCTTAATAAGGGTAGGTATCATCATTCCTAAAGTAGGATATTGATTTTCTTCGATATATCCTGTTGCTTGTACAAAAGGATGTAAAAGTATTGCTAATTCGTCTAATGAATTCCATTCTTCAGTTGATAAGAGAGCTTCTAAAATTTTTAAACTATCTTGCCTTTCTTGTCGATTAACACTTTGCCTTAAATTATCAGCTAACTGTATAATAGCATTATGAAAAAGAAGAAGGTTTTTTAAAAGATTGTAAGTTGAACTCCAACGAGTTCTAATATCACTTGAAAGAGGGTTGACTGGATGCTGTGGATTTAATTCAGCTTGTAGTCTGCAAAGTTTTTCATGATATTTATCCCGATTTACAAAATTATTTAACGATTTTGCTTTATTAATTAAATCATTAACTTCTTTAATATTAAATCCATCTCCTAATACAAGCTGAATTGGATGTGCCGTGCAGCCTACATGTAGAGTTATAAAATGATTTTATGTAAGTATAAAATTTATTAAAGTATTTTATATTAATTATATTTTTAATAACTTAATTCGATAATAGAGATTTTTTATCAATTATTATTTTTAATAACAAAAATTTAAAATGGAGAA